AAAAAAAAAAAGCTTCTGAGAAGCAAAGGGGCTCAGAAACGGAATATGGGCTTCCTGTCTGAGTTTTACTCACTCTCAGGCAATGTGGGCAAGAGGGTGCAGGCCTTGAGTGCTTTGGTGCAGGCACAGCTGTCCTGAGCACCTCCCACAGGTCTGTGAGCTGCCTGCACAGCACCTGCAGTCCAGAGACATCTGTAGTACGAGGCACTAAAAATGCGGGTGTGGAAAGGTGCAGATCTGGCCATTGCCAGAAAACCAAGGTTCAACTCAGCTGCCAAGGCTAAGCCAAGAGGCTGCACATCTATAGGGCTCAGCCTGCCAACTTTAGGGTCTTACCAAGCTAAAGGCCCCACTTCCAAGGTCCTCTTCTTTTGTAGCTGCTTGTCTTGTCTCTGTCTTCTTGGGTTTTGCAAACTGGGGGACAAACCTCCCAAATGAGCTCTGTGAACCAGATACAACAAGAACAAAGCAACAATAACGATAACGAGAAATGCAGTCTTGAAAGAAACCAAACACCAAAACCGGTTTCTTTCTTGTAGTCTCAAACATGGCCTTTGCCCTCCCTCTCCAGGGTACACTCTTACCAGCCCCTGTTGGCCCTGAGGATGAATGGAAACAGGAACTCCAGCTTAAGAAGGCAGTGTCTTTTGCACATAAGCAAGGCTACAAAACAGACTCACCTGGGAAGAAGGAAAAGGAATTGGCTCCTTTTCTGGTTGTCCAAGGAGTCTGGAGGGAGCTCCTATTTCCTTATCTGGGGAACTGAGTGGAGAAAAACAAAACAGGCTCTGGAATCCTCCAAGGTTGTCAATGGGTGTAGTGGGACAGAGAAGGAAGTCCAAAGACAAAGTAGTGCTCAGAATCTCCTGGAAAGGGGGCCCTGAAGCACCTGGTGAGAGAGAGTAGGATGGAGGAGGGGAGCAGTGCCCTGGGGAACATCTGACTCTAAGGGTGAGGATTCCCAAATCTATTGCAGAATCCAAGCTTCCTGCTCTGGCAGCCCTTTACCTTTATAACCCCAGGAATTGGCTCCTGAAGAAAGAACGAGAATTCTCATTTGAACTGACACTCCAGCCCCCAGCTCTGCACATTCTAAAAAAGGGAAGTTGCAGATATGCGAAACACAGTGGCTTAAAAAACTGGTGTCTTCACAATTGCCAAAATGTGGAAGCAACCAAGATGGCCTTTAGTGGCTCAATGGATAAATAAACCGTGGTACATCCAGACAATGGAATATTATTCAGTGCTAAAAAGAAATGAGCTATCAAGCCATGAAAAGACACGGAGGAAACTTAAATGCTTATTACTAAAAGAAGCCAATCTGAAAAGGCCACATACTGTATGATTCCAACTATATGACATTCTGGAAAAGGCAAACTATGGGGACAGTAAAAAGATCAGTGGCTGCCAGGGGCAGGGGGAGAGATGAAAAGGCTAGGATTTTTAGGGCAGTGAAACTACTCTGTATGAGACTATAATGATGGATACATGTGATTATACATTTGTCCAAACCCACAGGATGTACAATACCAAGTGTGAACTCTAAGGTAAACTATGGAATTTGGGTGATTATGATATGTCAATATAGGTTGATCTTTGCTAAAAAAAAAAAAATAATAAAAAAAGGACCCATTCTGATGAGTGATGGTGATAATGGGGAGGCTATGCATGTGTGAGGACAAGGAGTACGTGGGAAAGTGCTGTATCTCCCACTTGTGAACCTAAAACTATTCTAAAAAATCAAATCTTTAAAAAAACACTGGTGAGGTTATGATTATATTTAAATAAATGTGAATATGTATGTTGTAAAAAAAATAAAGACCAAAATCTGGAACTAAAATTTCATGATTTAAAAACTTTAGAAATGCAACAGGATAAAACATGAAGATATGCTAATGGGCTTGAATTGTGCCAGGGGAGGTTATGGAGACAGAATAAGTCTAGATGCTGCTAGCAAGAGTCTGTTAGAAAATTTTAATTGGGATGGGTTGTTTGGGTGGCTTCTGAGTGCTGGCAAGATTTCATTTCTCAACATAAATGTGTTAAGCTTGTTTGCTTTATGATTTTTTTCTATTATATTCTGTGCACAGGGTGTTTCTTAATAATATATTTAAAAAACAAAAACAAAATGGCGGGAACCTGTTTCTGTGGCTTCTGACTATTCTTATGAACACAAATGGCAGGTTGGATAGTGGCTGCGACCTCATCAGTCCTGTTGGCCTCTCCAGGGTTGAGGAGCAGAGTGGCATTGTCATGTCTGGGAAAACGGCTTAGGTGTGACATGTGGTCCCTCTCACAGAGCAGGGCTGCCTTAAGTCCTAAGACTGCAATGACCTGAGATCAGACACATACATCCCTGCACCCCCCGAAAACAGTTGTCAGTCCACAATTTTTACTCAGAAAATTTGGTAGTCCAATCCATGACACCTTCTTTGAAGGCTTCAGGGAGCAGGAAACTGCCTTCTCCTAATTCACAATAACCCTTTCTACTTTGCTATAGTTACATGTGGTTTAACCCTGTGGACAGACTAAACTGTTCTCCTTTCCTTCTTTTTCCCCACCTGCTTAATTATATTATTTCCTGGAAAAAAAATAAGGGAACTGGGAAACCATAGTTGTTAAGAGCACAGGAGCAAGACACAGCTAGAATCTCAGCCTGCCTCGCACCAGCTCAGTGGCCTTGGGCAAGTCATTTGATCTCTCGAAGACTCAGAGTCCTCATCTCTCAAATGGGGATAAAAACCTACTTCACAGTGCCAAGAGACTGAATGGGCTGATATGTGTAAGGTGTTTGTTATTAGCACTCTGCCTACCATATAATGATTCTCTTTTATGGGTTATTATTTCACAGACCTACTCCTTTGGTACCTTCTTGATCAAGAAGGAATGTAGGATAAATATGGATTTGATCAGCAGACAGGACAAGTTGCATTCTATAACTAAGTGGCCTTGAAAAATTCAAGGTTTTCCATGCCTGTGATTAAAATATCAACCTTTCTTGATATAGGGTCCCAGGAGGAAAGCTTTGAGAAGCACAATCCAAAGGCCCTGAGTCCCTTGGGGGGAGGCATGGCACTGGATGGGTCATGTTGGCCCCCTTCCTTTTGCACCCTCCTGTTCACTGGGCTGCTGCGCTGTGCCCACTGTCAATAGGGAAGCTTGCTGAAATGTTCTGAGCCACCTACCTGGAGGCCGCCTGTCCTGGTTCCTCCCCACTCTGCTCTGCAGAGGGAGCAGGTCCTGACCTGCCTTCCGACTCTTCAGAGTGATGCAAAGGGCCCAACTCGGAACTCTGGGGGACCCCATCAGAGTCTCTGAGCCTTGGGTTCTTTGGGGGTTTCAGAAGATGGATTCCTTCTCCTGGTTTAAAGACAAAGAAAGAAAAAGGGATAGGGGATGCCAGGAGCACGCACTGCCATGACAGACAATCAGACCTGCAGGGCTACTTCTGCAATGAGAGCAGGTTTATTCCAAGGACAGGAAACCCCTGCTCTGATTCTTGCCTGGAGAGCGAGAGATAGGACAGAACCTCATCCAGGTTCTATCATTTATGTTCTATCATTAAAAGTCTATGGAATTCAAAGGCTTTTTATCTATGGACTGGTCATGACTGAGGCCAAATCCTGAGGTGGCCTGGCCTGGCTTCAAACCACGAGACGAACTGGCCCAGTCTACTATCTCTCTGGGGAAGTGGTGAGAGGTGTGTGCTGACTTTTTTTGGTCTCGGCTGATACATCCCTGCAGAGAGACCATTCCCAGACTTCTCTATAGAGCATCCCTTTCAGGCCCATGCAATTTTATTCACTTCATAGCTTTTCTGCAGTTATCGATGTACTGGGTCATCTGTCTCCTTCACCGCAACCTGCTCCATGCAGGGAGAGGCCTCATCCATCTCACTCTCTGCTGAGACTCAAGCGCCTAGAAGAGCATCTAGTACACTGTCAGTGCTCAATAAATACTTGATAGATGACTGAATAAACATGTGTAGATCACTTCCCGGGAAATGCAGATACAACTAAATTATGTACCACTCTAGTTTTCCATGACTCCTGAAGAATAGCCATCCTGGGAAAACTGAGACCCAATGTCATTAAGTGCTAAGGAAGTGATGTCTTAGCTGCCAATTGGTCCCTTGTATCTAAGCAATACCTTTCCCATCACTAAGAGCAATTTAGAGCCTAAAGGTGTTTATTAACATCTATTTTTCGGATGAAAGAAACTCCCTTACACAGAAATTGCCAATAGTGGCTGGCTTGTGAGACCTCCCCAAATCTGGCCCCAATGGAATAATTTATTCAATGATAAAATAATAAGGATTGACTCTTGGGCCAGCCAAGTGGTACATTGGTTAGGAGTTGGCTTGGGACTCCAGCTCTGAGCAGCAGGACCCCAGTTCAGATCCCACATGAGGGCCACTGACGCTGTGCCCTCTACAGCTAAGATGGTGAACAACAGCTCGACCTGGATCTGGGCTGCCATGAGGCGCCAGCTTAGGCTGCAGTGGGGCTGGCTGGCAGCTGGCGTGCGCTTTCATGAGCTGCCGTGAGCAGCTATCCAATGGCCGGCGACCGATCTGCCTCACCCAGGGAAGAGTGCAATGATAATACCAACATGGGCTGGTGAAGCAATGTCCTCCACAACTAGACCGAAGAACAAAAAGGACAGGAACTTGTCTGTTCCCCTTCCCCGATTCCCCAATGCTGTTCCCCTCCCCCAATTCCCCAATAAAAATCTTAAAAAATAAATAAAATAGGGCCGGCCGAGTGGCGCGTTGGTTAAGAACTGGCTTGGGATGCCAGAGGGCCCCGGTTCGGATCCCACATATGAGGGCCAGTGACACTGCCCTCTACAGCTAAGATGCTGAACAACAGCTCAACCTGGAGCTGGGCTGCTGTGAGTCGCCAGCGACAGCGTAGGCTGCAGCCCCAGTGGCAGTGGGTTGCCATGGGCTACCGTGTGCAGCCAGCAGCCAGCGTGAGCGGCCAGCAGCCGCAGTGAGCGGCCATCCAGAAGCCGGCGACTGATCTGCCTCGCCCGGGAAGAGCGCAATGATGGTGCCAACTTGGGCCAGTGAAGCAACGTCCTCCACAACTAGACTGAAGAACAAAAAGACAGCAACTTGTCTGTTCCCCTCCCCCAATTCCCCAACGCTGTTCCCATCCCCCCAATTCCCCAATAAAATCTTTTAAAAAATAAATAAATAAATAAAAATAAAAAAATAAAATAAAATAAGGGTTGACTCTAGTGAGTTCCATGCCAGACACTCTCCTAAGAACTTAGGTGTGTTATGACAAAACTTTGAAGTAGGGTCCTGTGGTTATTCCCATCTTACAGACGATAAAGCCGAGGCACATGCAGGATAGTCTGCGCACTTAAGTGTACTTCAGCATTTGTTGAGCAGCTACTATGTACAGTGCTGCTGACCAGGTAGTGAGGACAAAAGGACAAACCAGATCCAAGCCTGATCTTCCTGGAGTTCCTTATACACCATGAAATAAACCCATTGAATAAGCTCCCTCCCTTTCCTCCTAACACCAGTGCTGAGGGTCCTCCTCAGCATTTATTCAGCTGTTTGTGTTCCACTAGGCCACAGCGACTTTCCTGTAATTTCTTCTAATTCTGTCAGTTATGGTTCACGTGTGCCCATTCTGAACTCTAACTCACTGCTGTGTATTTGATTAGCTCTCTCTGTGAGAATCATTTTTCTTTTTCCCTTGACTAGACCTTGAGGGCAGGAACTAAGTCTGCTGAAACCTTTGCTCTCGTCCTTGACCTGCCTCCTAGCCCTCCCTCAGGTGCCCACCCCAGCACTGCACCCAGAGTGAAGCTCCAATGAGTTTCTTACACAAACACATTCCCACCTGTGGTCTGCCAGAAAAGATAAAATGTAGCAGCTTCGTTTATTTGGTTTCTTAAGATGCCCAAACACTAGCTTGCTTTGCTAATGGACATTTGTACCAAGCAAAAAGCAAAAATATCAACAGAGGCAAAGAGCCTCCCATTTCCTTCCTGTGATCTGTCCCCACAGGACTAATTTAAGAAAAACTAAGGCAGAACCTTGTGTTCAACACCAAAGGCCAAAGATGTTGGGAGGGAAAGGGCTTCTTTCACCACCTGCCAGAATCATCTTCCTCTCTCTCCACCCCATCCAGGACATACAGAAACAGCTGTCCGGGGCCAGCCCAGGGGTCTACTGAACTGGGGAGTCCACTGCCAAGAGAGGCCCCAAATGACTTGCTGTGGGTGGGCCTGGCTGTCCCCAGCTTCCCCCTCCAAGGTCAGCTAAATTCCTGTATCTCCAAGCAGCCTGTTGCTCATCTCTACACAAAATATTTTCGATCTGTTGATCATTTATTTTCAGTCCCACATTTTGGGGGAAAAAATGAGTGTTACTCTGTAAGTTCATTAAGCACTAAGTAAAGAAGTCACTAATCAACTTTTAAGACGTTTGACTTACCTTAGACAACAGACAAGGTAATGGAGCTATACTATGCAATACTGTTTTTTTTTTCTTTTTGAACGAGGAAATTCTATGTGTATATGGACAAGTACAGACAGTCTCAATACACCACGAAGTGATGATTCTATTTTTCCAAAAAACCCACTATATTTGTGTATACACAGAAAAAGTTTGGAAGAAGTAGTGTACTCAGGTTCATCCTGGGTGTTTTTTTTAATAGTGTACTATATGATTGATCCTCGTCCTGTGGCTGTGATGGGTGTTAACATTAGGGGAAGGGTACAAAGAACTCTGAACTATTTTTGTAACTTTTCTGTAAGCCCAAGATTATTTCAAAATGAAAAGTTGGGTTTTTGTTTTTTTTAAGTCTGGAAGGACAATCATAATGGCAACATATACTTGTGTACTACCTAGAGTTTCCTCTCAGTGCTTTACAAATACTAATCCACATGTGAGCTCTAGGACATGGCTCTCAGCCTGGGCACTGGGACATTACTGACATGTGGGGTTGGATCATTCTGTGTTGTGGGTACTGTCCTGTGCATTCTATGATTTTGAACAGATTCCTGGCCTATACCCACTAGATGCCAATACGCCCCCCCACCCCCGCCCCCCCAAAAAACCAGCAACTGTGAAAACCAAAAATGTCTCTAGACATTGTCAAATATCCTCTGGAGGGCAAATTCCTCCCCCCACCAGGTTGCGAATCACTGAGAGGTACTCTTATTATCCCTTATTTACAGAAGGAGGACAGGAGACACAGAGTAAGTCATCTGCCATCACACAGTGAGCAGCAGAGCTGGGAGGAAACAGGTTTTTGATTCGAGAATGAAGCACTTAGCCACACACCAGATGGCCTTGCAGCATGTCAAGCTCTATTCAGTGGTGGCCTCTGAGAGTGGGCCTGCATGGGGGCTGTACCCCATCGCGAAGCCTGAGGGCATTCCCTTGGTTGTGGGATCCCACCAGAGGCTGGACAAAGCACCACAAGGCTTTCACTTTCTACTTTATGCACTTCTCCAGAATTTATAGTTTTCCTATTAGCAGGTATGAAATAATTTTTTAAAGGAGCCTGGTGTGATCATGTTAGCATTTCTGCAATAAATAAGCCCAGGTTCCTCTTAAGAGCAGAAGCAGCAATAAAGACATCAATTTGAACATCCAGATACCTGAGGTCCGAAGCTTCTTCCTCTTACTCATTTTATCCCTCCCTTGAGAAATCTGAAAATGAGCAAAATACCATCATTACAAGAAGTCCCTGTCTCCGGGTACAGACCTAGTGATATTGGCTAAGGGCAGAAGCCCCCCCACCCCCACCTCAACCCATCTGGCTGCCCTGAGGGGTCAGTTGGGCCCCAAGAGGATACAGGGTGGGAGTCACAGCGACTTTGGGCCATGGCTGTTTAAGAACTCAAACCTCCTTCATGCTGCAGAGAGCAAAATGGGAATTGCCCATCTTCTGCCCAGAATCTGAGAATGCACAGGCAGGGGTAGAGCAGGGGTGTCTTCCGTGGGAAGCGTTGGGGACGCTGGCTGTGGTCCCGAAGTTGGGAGTAGCCTGTGTGAAGCTCCTCCCTCCAGGCTGGGTTCTCCGGGACCCTTCCAGGGACATTTTGAGAGAACAATGGGGGCCCTTCGGGGTCATGTTGGGGCTTTAGAAGGGCCACCTAGGGCACTTCAAAAAAGTCAGGGGCCCTTCGGGGGATGCCAGGGGCCTTGAAGAAACAGGAGTCACCAAAGAGCAATTTCTTCCAGCCTTGGTGGCCGGACAAGCCCAAACCGACCTGGGCCAGAGAAGTTGTCGCGGTCCCTTTGTCCTTATCAAGAACTAGGTAGGTCTGCCTGGAGCTGTTGGGGAATAATTCGGTTAAATTATTTGCGTGAAATATTTTGGAGAAAATAAAAGGTAAGTTGGCCCCTCATGGAGGCCGGGCCGGCCCAGGAGCTAGAGCTGAAGGGCTGGAAGTCCGAAGGCCCAAGCGCTGTGGTCTGGCTTCCAGTGGCCAGGTCCACGCTAACCCGACCCCAGCCACCAAAACGTGAGAACTGCCCAGGCCTGGACCACCAGGTGAGGCCGCAGCTCGTAGGTGGCCGCGGAACGCAGTAAACGCGACGCCGCCGCAGCCCTCACACCTGCGCGCTCTCTCTTTCCCGCTCACTGCGACACCCAACCGCGCGCATGCGCGACGCCAGGGTGGCCACTCATACCTGCGCACGCCTCCGACTCTTTCCCTACCACCGGCGGCACCCTCCACCGCCCCGCAGTGCGCACGCGCTTTGCGCACTGTCTGCCGGGAGTTGTAGTTTCAATGCGGCGGGCCCGGCAAGTCCAGTGGCCTCGCTCCGGTGCCGCGGCCCGCGAGCGACGAGGCGGAAGTAGGGCGGCCACCCCAGGGACCGAGGGCGTGGGGCTGGCGATCGCCGGGCGCCGGCGAGGGGCGCGGGGCTTCGGAAGGGCGCGTGCGCGGCGATAGGGCCCGGGGGAGGAGAAAGGGCAACGCCAGGCGAGGGAGCCGGTGGTCCGGGGATCTTGTCTGCAAGATGCACAAGAGGAAGGGAATCCCGGGCCCTCCCGGCCAGGGCGCCGCTGCCGCCCGCCAGGTGAGTCTCTATCCTCCCACCCCACCCCCGGCCCCGCCGAGGGAACCATCCCCACCCAAGTCATACATTCAGGGGAGGGCCCCACCCCCTAGGGGAACCCGATCTCCACCCCCAGGTAAGCCCCGGCCCCCGCCCCCCAGGGGAGGTTCGATCCCCAAAGTGCGGCCTACTGGCCTTGGCTTCCCAACTCCTAGCGCATCGCCCCAGGTTCAGGGCCACCTGTTGCCGCAGCAGCTCCAGTAGGGGAGGGGAAGGCCTCAGCCTGGGCTGGGAAGGACAGTTACTGCTTTCCTGACTTGAGCACACTTTGAACCCTCGGGTCAGCCAGGCCAAGTCAGACTCTTTTTATCCCCATTGTACAGATGAGGACACTGAGGCCCAGAGAGATGACGACACTTGCTCAAGGTCATAGGAATTAACAGCTTGGCCAGAGCTAAGCGCAAATCCAGGGCTGCTGCCATGAACCCATAGGACTGCTACTGGGCCTCTTCTGTGGCCCCCATTTCCTCTTCCCCAGGCACTGTAAGAGTGATTTTTCTCAGCTTTGATGGAGGGAGCCCAGGCCATAGCTTGGTGCCAGGTGTTAGAGTCTGGCCAGCCTGAAGTTTCCTCCTGGCCTCTGCACATTGGATACTTGGCCTCACAGCTCTCAGCCTCAGTTTCTTCACCTATAAAATGGAGACCCTAAGAGTCCCTATGTCACAGGACAGTTGTGAAAATTCATTGGGATAGTTTATGGAAAGTGCTAGAACATAGCACTGGCTATGTTACTATCATCATTATTACTATTATAAGAACCCATACATAATTGCCAATATTTGGCCATTTTTGATCCACAGAAAGGGCGATTTTGTATAATTCAACCTGATATTATCACATCATGATGGGTCATTAACCAGGATAGGATGGGAAGACAGGTCTGTTACATGGCAAGGAACCCCACTTTCAATGTCTGTGTTACTCTCAGGGCTTCTATTTGCTCTTGAGGCCACCAACTTTTTTTTTTTTTTCCAAGATTTTATTGGGGAATTGGGGGAGGGGAACAGCTTTGGGGAAATGGGGGAGGGGAACAGACATGTTGCTGTCCTTTTGTTCTTCAGTCTAGTTGTGGAGGACTTCACTTCATTGGCCCATGTTGGTATTATCATTGCACTCTTCCCTGCTGAGGCAGATCGGTCACCAGCCACTGGACAGCCGCTCACAGGGGCTCTTGGCAGCTCACAGTAGCTTACGGGAGCCCACTGCAGCTCCACTGCAGCCTACAACGCTGCCAGCGACCCATGGCAGCCCAGCTCCAGGTCAAGCTGTTGTTCACCATCTTAGCTGTAGAGGGCGCAGCGTCACTGGCCCACATGTGGGATCCGAACTGGGGCCCTGTTCGGGTGTCTCTAGCCAACAGGTGTCTCTAGCCAACTGTTAACCAAGGCGCCACTCGACTGGCCCTAGGCTACCAACCTTCTTGCATGGCCCCCTCTGCTGAGGATGCTGGAAGGAAAAATCCAGGTGTTCAGAGTGGCTGTGCTTTGGGCAGAGTGTGTGGCCTGCTTTCCCCACTGCACTCAGCAAACAGCGCATCACAGGTGCGGGCTCAGGACAGGGAGCTGGGTCTCCCTGCCTGCCCTTTGTCCCATGTTGATCTATGCCAGAGGGCCTGGCCTATCTTGGCATACCTGTTGCATTCTGGGCCTGTTCTAGCCTCCTGGCACTCCCAGGGAAATGGCTTTCCCCAGGAGGCCTGGGTTCTCTTCATCCTGAGGGGACTCTGGGTCCATCGTGGCTGCTTCTGGCAAGGTGGGGTGCATCCCAAGGTCTGACTGGACTCTTGCTGTTCCCGCAGCTGGGCCTGCTGGTTGATCTATCCTCGGATGGCCTGATGATCCCTGAGGATGGAGTTAACAATGAGGAACTGGAGGCCGAGTTCTTGGCTTTGGTGGGGGGCCAGCCCCAAGCCCTGGAGAAGCTCAAAGGCAAAGGTGAGATCAAACCACCCTGGAACATTTCCTCAGCCCCCTCTATGGGCAGGGTTCAGAGATGGGTGCTGGGGAGATGGAGGAAAGGAGACAGAAAAGGTCCCTGCCCTCCTGGAAATCCACGGTCTGGGTTAAAGGTTAAGTGATCAACCCCAGACCCAGAGTGACTGTTCGAATCCCAACTCTACCTCTTACTGGCTGTGATTTGAGTCCTAGCACCTGTGTGGACTCCAGTTTTCCCATCTGTAAAATGGGAACAACCCACAGTTACATCACAGGAGCTAATCTTCTAGTGTTCATAAAGGACCTGGTTAGTTGTGCAACCCGCTGTCCTGTGATCAGGGCTGGGATAGTTAAGAACAGAGCGATGGGAGAGACCTGTGAGCTGGGGCGGGATTTCCGGAGGAGGCACCCATGATGGATAGTGCCATGTGAAGAGTTGGGGAACACTTCTGGGAGGGGTCACAGCATATGCAAAGGCCCTGGGAGAAATGGCAGGAGGCAGCGGGCAAACGGAGCCTTTATACTTTTCAGCTAATGTAGTTGATCCTCATTATTCACAGATTCCGTATTTGTGAATTCACCTACTGGCTAAAATTTATTTGTAACTCCAAATCAATACATGCAACTCTTTTGCAGTCATTTTTGGACATGCACAGAGCCATAAAAAGTTTGAGTCACCCAACTTGCCCAACATCCACAGTGGGAAAGTTCCAGAGCCAAAGTGTGAACCTGGGCTCGATAAGGAAAGGATGAGGGTGGCGAGGTCTTCTGGGGAGTGGGATCACTGCCTGAGGACAGTGGGATGCCATGGAAGGGCCTGGAGGGAGACATACTGCCCCACTGCCTGCTACACTATTCTTGGGGGCTGTGGGTGACCAGGATGGGAGGCTGGGGACTCTTTTTTTTTTTTTTAAAGATTGTATTGGGGAATTGGAGGGAGGGGAACAGCATTGGGGAATCGGGGAAGGGGAACAGACAGGTAGACAAATTGCTGTTTTGTTCTTCAGTCTAGTTGTGGAGGACGTCGCTTCACTGGCCCATGTTGGTATTATCATTGCGCTCTTCCCGGGTGAGGCAATTGGTCGCCTGTCATTGGTCGGCCACTCACAGCAGCTCCCGGTAGCTCACACCAGCTACCAGCCGCTCACGCTGACTGCCAGCCACTCACTTAGCTCACGGCAGCCCAATGCAGCCCTGCTGCAGCCTACGCCGTTGCCGGGGACTCACAGCAGCCCAGCTCCAGGTCGAGCTGTTGTTCAGCATCTTAGCTGTAGAGGGTGAGCGTCACTGGCCCTCAATGTGGGATCCAAACCGCAGCCCTACTGCTCAGAGCTGGGCTCTTAACCAGCTGAGCCACTCGGCCGGCCCGAGGCTGGGGACTCTTGAAGAATCTTGGTCCACCTGGTGCCTCCCCCTGCCACCAGGTCCCCTGCCCATGGAGGCCATTGAGAAGATGGCCAGCTTGTGCATGAAAGACCTGGATGAGGATGAGGAGGGAACCGATGAGGAGGATGTGGAGGCTGATGATGACTTGCTGGTGAGTGTCTGGGATGGGGCAGGAGGCCTTCCCTACCATTGTTGCCTCATCCATTGGGCCCTCACACAGACCTGTGACTTTGTGTCCCTACAGGCAGAATTAAATGAGGTCCTTGAGGAGGAGCAGAAGACTTTGGAGTCTCACCCTCCTGTGACCCAGGTATACCTCCGACAGCCCTGCTCCCTACAGCCCAGGGTTCAAGGCCCTCCCTTGCCTTTCTCAGCCATGCAACCTTAGGCAGATGACTGGACACCTCAGAGCCCCAGTTCCCCAGTAGGGAAAGGGGATGATAAATTCTGTGCCACCAGAGTGGGGGCAACTGGCCTACATGAGACATGCCTGGTGTGCAGTAGACCCTCAACCAAGGACACCTTCAGGTATCTTAGGCCAAGTTGGGTCATCAGCCACCCACACTGTTCCCCTGGCCCCTCCTGCAGCCGAAGGCCACAGCCCCCAGCCCAGGGATGGAGGCCACCTTGCAAGAGAGGCTGGCTCTTTACCAGACAGCGATCGAAAGTGCTAGGCAAGCCGGAGATGGCGCGAAGATACGGCGCTATGACCGGGGACTTAAGGTGAGCGGGCAGACGGGAGAGTGCCGGGACCCCATAACTGCACTCAGCTCCGGGCTTCTCTGAAACCCACATTTACACTTTCTCCCAGACACTTGAAAACCTGCTGGCCTCTATCCGGAAGGGCAATGCCATTGATGAAGAGGACATCCCACCACCTGTTGCCATAGGGAAGGGCTCAGCGGCCACTCCCAGCCACACTCCTGTACTTACCCCACCAGCTTCTGTGAACCTGCCAGCTCCACAACCCAGGATCACAGTGGAGGGTCCTCCTACTGTCCCAGCCTCATCTTTGGGCTTGGCTAAGCCCCAGCTGCCCCTGGCAAAGCCCCAGTTGCCCCCAGGTAGGCCAAGGGCAGGGGTGGGCTGACAGCATGTTGGGGGATATATTCAGTGGTTGTCCTCTCTGTTGGGGCGCAGGCCCTGTACTGATTAACACTCCTCCACTTCCCAGGTTTGCATGCCCCCCGAGTTCATTATTAATATCTTTTTTTTTTGTGGTGGTAAAATATATATAACATAACATTTTCCATTTTTCAGTGTGTAATTGAGTGGCATGTAGTACATTCACAATGTTGTACAACTGTCACCTCTATTTCCCAAACTTCACCCCAAACAGAAACT